CTATGCACGTGCAAGCCGATTGCACCCCTTCGTACGTTGCCACGCCTGCAGGGTAAACGGCAGCTCTAACTGGTTCAAAACTTGCAGGTTATAAGAAGAATACATTGAGTCATGACATTCCGGCGAGATAATATCCGAGGGGTGCAAGCTGCGCGTGCGGGGGATGGATAACGGTTTTGACGAGGGATCCTGTGATCCCAGGAAACGTCGAGCTAGCGACACAAAAGTCGGTACACTGATAGAACTAGACACACGCTACAGGATGTCATGAAAATGACTGCACTGGGGTGCCTGGGACATGAACTATGCATGTGCAGTTAATTCATATCTTACTGTTGGTAGATATCCACACCAATCTCACGTGCTTCCAAGCATTTTTGGGATGTTTCGGTTGGTTTCAGGTTCAGTCCAAGCTTGGTCATGGCCTTGGCTCAGTCCAAGGCGTCCAAGGCCATAGAAACTACTCCAAGGCTGAGTCTGGGTTTCGGTGGTTTGGCCCGGTGTGTGCCCTCAGTACCGTTCCTCCAATTCTGGCCCAAGGCAACGCAAGAGCGCTGCCGGCATCTAGTCCAACGTTTAGCTTTATCTTTTGCGTTCGTTTGGCGGTAGAGTACATTACTATGAGCTCCGGCATGTATCAGAGCTATAGGCGACATTTCACACTGGTCGAAGTGGCGTTCACACATGGCAAACCACCGTGCCTGAGTGCACCGGCCGTCGGCTCGTCACGCGGTGCAAACCCATGAGCCGGATGACGCCGTGGTTCGTTTGTTAAACCTGGAACAACGGACCGCGCCCGACGGCGGGGGAGGGGAGGGGAGGCAGATTGGTGTAGGTTATGTCGCCGTGTCACCGTCTGTCGCCACTGACGAGGCCGGCAAAGGTGCGCGATGACGGGCCGTTTGTCGGCGGCGCTGCAGCTGGCGCAGATGCTCTGTCGACTGACAGATCGTGTATCGATTCGGGAGGATCGGCGCGCGGCGTGTCAGCGGAGGGTGAGTGATCCCTGACCGTATATCACCGCCGGGCGCGTGGCTGAGGCTGTTGTATCGGTTGATGGTCGGGACGGATCACCGACCCCCCCCCCCCGTCTCCACGGATCATCGCCCCTCCCCCAGAGATCACAGCCCCCCCCCCCCGCCCTCATCGCCGGCAGACGCTCCGGTGTAGCCCGAGCCATGCTATAGAGATGAATGGGGCTCGGCTCAGACACACCACACTGACACAGTCAGAGGAGGGAGGGTCAGAGGATGATGGAGATGGGTCGGTTTGGTGCCCCTCTATCTTACTAATGCTGGGAAATGGGGCCGACCGTCCAATATTTCGTGAGGTTCTGTAATCCGTGAGCCGGATGGGAGTGTGGTTTGGTCGTTGCATACAACATACCGATGTTTGATTCACTTCGACCACACACGTATTGAACGATTTCATGTTGCTCTGCCTGTTTCCTGGTTCCGTGATATCGCACCTGTATATGGGTTTTCCATCGCCGCTGCTCACGACACGCTATACTTCCACGTCATGCTTCATGGCTCAGCTTGTTGCCGAATCCTTGTTTCTACTTGTTCTGGCGCATCTTGGCCACGATCTTACGCTGGGTTCCTGTTTTACATGCTTTACAATGATTTACCTAATCTTACCCTTGTCCAACCCACCCCGGTTCCTGTGTAGCCCTAATTTTGATCTTACTACGATTTTAATCTTACCGCGGTCCTGTTACACCCCGGTCCCGGTCTCACCCCGGTCCCAATTTTACCCCACGGTCCCGGTCCCGATCACTCCCGCCGACCGTCCATGGCTCGCTCCGGACCGGGTCGTTATAGCGCGCTCGTGGCGTCGGCGCTTTGTTCACGGGGCCATCAGTGTGCAGCGGGCGGCTTTTTACCTTTGATAATGGAACGATAGGAAACATCATGTCTCGGCGCTGCTACGTGCCCGTCGTGCCCGAGAGTGAAACCGGTACTGGTTACACGAGCTAGATCAGACCGATAAAAGTCATTAGCTATTGAATGCGCTGTTTTCGTGTTCAATTGTTCATGAGCGTAAGACAATAAGACATCAACAGAATCAGATCTGTTGAAGTGATGTTTCACCTCCCTAAAAATACAGGTTTGCCCGTGATCTCAGCTCACGACTGTGGTCTGTGTGGGTTCTGATGACTGCTGACTCCAGTCAGTTATGATGACGCCGACCATCTTGATGACGTCTATTGGGCCCAGTGATAATCTAAACGATTTCCTCTTATGGTAATCGTCCTGTCTTCGCGCTCAAAGACAGCTATTTTTACCGCGTACCTATCTAATGAAGATGAACAGCGCATAAGATTTGCTGAAACGCAATGTGTAGTTATTCATTAACTATTCCGGCTTATTAACGTTCCATTGAGTGCTGTGGACCCGCTGGCCCTTTTCCGTCGTCATCAATGTACGAACGCACATCAATCGATCATTAGCCCCACTAATCACTATTATTTCTCGAATCCGACCAGCGATGAAACGCTTTACGACTCGACTTCACCTGGCGGGCGCGGCGCAAGATGAAGGAACATTGTATCTTGCTGCGAACGAGCTGTTGCTGAAGTTTACGGCAGTTTTGCCGGCTGGCTTACAATCATTCCGAGAAATTATGTCCCGCTCTGTGATGGCGCCTTCAGTGGGCGAGTTATGCTAATGGACGACTGGGAACCGGCGGCTGCGTCTTATCTGCGCCGCTGGTATCCCGGGGCTGTGACGTCAGCCAGCCGTTCCCCGGCATGTGTTGGACGTGACGTTACATAGAATACCCCCGATTACGAGCGGCCCAGATGGGAAGCCTCCGCGATGCGTCCCTCACCCCCTCGGTGCCTTATGTCCGCTGCGTTACTTTGATCGTCCCTCCCAGTTCGCCATTCTGCGGTATTTTGCCGTCCCGGCGTTCCGATGCCACCCTCTCCTGGCCTATCTACCCCCCACCCCCACCCCACCCTCGCGGTCCCTCGCCCTGTTCTGGCACGGCCGGCGGACGGCTTCATTCAGACCCGCTCGACGGACCCATTCAGGCGAATCGCCGAGATAACCGGCAGAAAAACGACGGTGGCGGTGGGCGGCACTGATGGACGTCGTGTCTGTCGCCTTCACCCCACCGCGACGGAAGACAGGTTGGGTTGGACTGGGCTGAGCTGCAGACTGGACTGGACTGACCAGACCGGACTGCGGACTGGGCTGCGAGCTAGACTGGGAGAGGCTGTCGAAATAATACTGACTGCACTGAATCAGGCTAAACATAGTGACCAGTTTTGATACTCTAATGTGAGTTCTTAGGCATTCATTATTCACCCCCATCAGAAACATTGTCGTCCCTACCACTTCCTCTCTCTGGTATTTTCCTCGGCTACCGAAGCTTACACTTCACTTTTGATGCATTCAGAGGACCCTCTGTCAGACGGCAGAACTGAATGTGTGCGGAGAACTAATATTTATGAACCAATCCCAAATGTTTTCCCTTTCATCAAACACCCTATCCTCACGCACGCATAATGAACTGACTCGCGACTCGCCTTCGTTTATCGGCTGAACTTCTGTCATGTTTAGGGGAAGCGGGGGTAACACCGCCACTGTGGGAAACACCGCCACCCCATCTGGCGGCGAAAGTATGAAATGTGAAGTGTAAAAATCCGTTATTTCCTATTGACCGCACGCAGGTAAGCGTCTTCTGATTTGTGTTCCGGTGTTTCAGTGTAATCGAAGCTCAATGTGGGCATTTAAAGAAAAATGCACATTCTCTTATAAAAATTCGATGAGTTGGGAGCACTTTTGAATGTCTTTAAGTAGAGACTCATTTTGATTTACTTGATTACATCGAAAAATATCTGATCGGCTTTGTCCAGTAAGATAAGTTTGCTTGAACCGTGTAGTACATTCTTACCGCTGGCGATTTTTGCTTGTGATCATGCTTGGGAACACCGCCACCCCGTGGCGGTGTTACCCCAATTGAGGTTGCGGTGTTTCCTGTTTGTAGCGTGATAAGTGATGAAACTCCAAAGACACGCTTTATTTATGTTCGTAGATGTTCCTAAGTCGGGAATAAGCAGCTTATTTGATTTTTTACTTTATATTTTTCATGCATCCCGACCAAGCACTTGTCAGCTGATGAACTTATACCTATTTAGGTGTCCATTACCGATTATTTGCGAAAATTACCACTTACCGACAGGAAACTCATCGCACACGATCTCTGAACAATTAAAAGCTTTCGTAGGAATGGGTTGGGTTAACATCAACACCGGTGGCGGGGTTACCCACACAATTTGTAGGCAGCAAATATGCAAGGTATTTTTAAAAGTCGTGATACATGAAAACCTTTTAGGAGCATGCAAAATAAGTACCTAAAACACGTGAGAAAATGTTTAAATATTGTAACCAAAACAATAACTACCAAGAGACTTCACACATATTCTCTCATTTTGGCGAAAAGCTTAGGGGGGCGGTGTTACCCCCGCTTCCCCTATTTGCTTTATACTGTCCCACTTCGGTTGTCATCAAATACACAATTGGAGAGATATTAGCCGTTTTCACGACGGGCTATCCGGTGAATGCACCTAATTTGACCAAATCTGCACCTAATCTCTTTTACAGCAAATGTCTTCATTTTATGAATTTATTTCAGTGTTTTAATTAATCGATGATACTCTCTGAAAATGACATATAGCAGGCATTAGGTAATTAGTGTATCCCGCTGATAGCTACTAAGCGATACACTGAACCTAATTTGACCAAATCTGCACTTAATCTGCACCAAATGTGCACCAAATGCGTACCAGATGGCCGTCGTGAAAACGGCTATTAGCGACTGAATGCAGCAATGAGGAAGGCTCGAAGGGGCAGATACATTGTCTCAATCATCAGACAGTTCTCCCCTCATCCGCTTGTCTCTGTGTGTCAAAGTGACTTTTGTGTGCTGTATTGAAACGTCCATCTCCGCACTTCTCTGACCCGTGTGCGGTGTGTCTATGCCTCCCACAGTTCCTGGACTTGGTGAAGGGGGACGAGCTGGTGTCCGCCTACATCAGGAGAGCCGAGGGCACCGTGTTCGCTCCCACCAACGCCGCCCTGCAAAAGTACAAGGGCGAGCGGAGTGCCAACGTTCTCCTATACCACATCGGTGAGTAGAGACGATTACTTTTAGCGATTAACGTAGAATTGCGGTGTTTTAGGGAGTCAAGTGAGGAGCCGGTGATTTTATAGGGATTAAAATAGAACTAATGTTTTCAGGGAGTCGAGCGTAGAACTAGAGTCGGCGGTTTGTAGCGATTAGAGTATTAAAGTCGGGGTTTTCAGCGAACTTGGGGTGCTACAGGACCGCGGCTGGTGAGAAACTGCCGTAATTGTGGAGATACTGGCGCTTCTCATGCGCCTGTTGGTCGCTGACCACACCACCAGACTCCCACTCTCAGACGGTTTTATGGTCTCATTTCGCCGCCAGACTGCGGCACTGCAGTGATATAAGTCCACTCTGAGACGGACTGGGGCATTGCTCCGGCGCTCTGAACCATTACTGAAGCGCGGTTAAACTCCGGACATAGACACGGTGACCGCCGGCTCGTCCGGTAATGCCGAAAACAGGGCCACTCCGCGGCCCGGAAGAGACGGTGCTGGACGGCCCGATTCACGTGGGTATGTTTCAGCCGGGGGACGTCTATGGTGCTGAGACGGCCGGTGGTTCATGGTTTCTGCAGGTTAGCTCCAGCGCGGGCCTGGCGATATCCAGGAGTCTCAGGGTGCTGCGGGCTATAGGCGCAGTGCGGTTGGCACACCAGGCGATGTTCAGTGAGTCCATGGATGTTTTATATGGATGCTGGAGGGGTCCATTGCGGCTGGCGGGCTGGGAGATATCCAGTGATTCCTTGGCTGCTGCGGGCTAGTTCCAGCCATGCCTGCGGCCATGAGCGCCGCGCAAGGAACATATATAATAATCCCGGGTCCCGCCGGTAACACGGTAACACGGGCGGCAGCACGTGATAGCCGCTGCCCCCGGCACGGCGGCGGCTCCGGCAGCGTCGCTAAGTGGCCCGGCGCACGGGAGGTTTTTGTCCTCCGGGGAGGTCGACAGAGGCTGGGGCGGCCCGACCCCACTCTCACCGGCAGCTGGTTACTGTTCACCCTGAGGTTACCAAATACACGCCCCGCTCGTCAGGCAACGGTGGGTCCTGCAAAACAGGCTGATGCGGACCGACCCTCGTGGCTCATGGAACTACAGTTTGTTGTTACAAATACGCTCCGACAAAGATGTGTCGCATTGCGACTGCATGTTTGAGACGACATGTGGTTATTGATAGCTCGTGAAGGCAAAGGCTATCAATTGCCTAATGCCTTATAATTACCAGAACACGAAATGAGCTGTAAAATTTGATCCTCAGCTCACGAAGGCAATGCCAACTTGTTCCATAAGAACACTCGAGCTGTTGCTTACCTACTGGTAACATTTGGTCAAGATTACTTTAATGTGCAATTGCTTATCATCTGCCTAGGGCAGATGCCCTATGGTCTGTAGTCGACTTTTTGTCATGTAAGAAAGGCGGAGATCTTTTCACACAGACAGTAAGGAACATAATTTTAACTTAGTGTGATCGTTCGAGCTCGCGGCGTTCCCAAATGGCGTCAAATGGCAGAGATGGATGGGGTTGTGGCAAAAACGAATGAAGCGTCTCCATGGCTATTATTTAGCCAATTCATCACTTTCCTCCCTTCCTCAGCTTCACATCTTTGCTTCTCTCTCTCTCTCCCTCAGTCTCACCGCTCACGTCTTTGCTTCATATTTTTAATCGATCGTTTTCACGCACATTGAATACGGACGAAATATTCGCCAGAAATCACGGCATAACCCACATGTTTCTATATCAATCGTGAGCAAAGGAAAAGCGCTTCTTGTCAACAGTTGTTTACTGTTCGCCCTGCACGATGAAAATGGCAGATTTGTGCGCAACTTCATGACCCCTTACTTGAGGTCTAACCAGCAACTGTTCTCAGTCACTCAATTAACTGGACTTATGCATGGTCCGTAAGTAACTAATGTCCAATGCCCAATGTCCATGGACCAGCTGACCCATGACTTCTCCCTTCCCCAGTGAACCTGGCCATGTCCATGGAGCAGCTGACCTCGGAGCGGTCGGTGCCCACCCGACTGAAGGGCAGTCAGCCAGTGTTCGTCAGCGTCCCTCGTCCCGGCCACGTGTTCATCAACAACGCGCGCATCGTTAGCAGTGACGTCAGAGCCACTGCAGAGACACAGGAGAATCAGGTGGGTATGTTAGAGACGCGACAAGGCTGAGAAGGCGAGGAGAACAGTGATGTGCTACTGAGACAGGGAATGTATGAATATGAGGTCATGGATCAGACTGGATGGGCTGCAGGGGACCGAATCAGTCGTGTGTTATGTGTTGACTGCTGACTAAAGGTATCGTGATGTTTGTTCTGCCTTTCTGGCGTGTCTCCAATGGTTTTACAGGTTTGACATCTTAGTTATGTGTTTTAAAATAATTCTACTGTTCGTGATATCCTGCTTGAAATAGCAGACGAATGATACAACTGGATTCCCTTTCGATTTAAGAAAAAGAAACAAATCAGTACTAATTGGCATAGTTTATTCAGGATTCAGGAAACACATGGTAGGTAAAAATAAATATTAGGTCATATGGAGTGTTTCGCATTTTCCATGTTTAAGCACATGTGGCACAAGCGCTGGTGGGTAAATTCCTACATTCTTTCTGCATTGTCGTTAAAATGCTTACAGGCGAAAGAACGGCCCTCGGACATGTGCTATATGTGGGCTGTGAAACGGGCTTAAACGTTTAAACGTTTTGTCCATGAAATTTCCGTTTATGCAGGAAAACATTTATCGTGATAAATAACATCTTTTAGCTGGGAAAATTAATTAAGATATTGAGGAGCGCTAAGAAGAAATTATCTCACATTTGCCCATATATGTAGGTACCATATATATTACTGTATTATATATAAAAACTCATGGACATTGCATGCAAAATTGAGAAACAAATATTACTATGCCGATAAAAACCAGGCATAAAGCTTTACAAACGATCGGCCTTGTAAATACAATAACACTTCCCTTCCCGGTGATCGCTACGTTTACAATGTACAATGCGGGTCCACGAAGACGCCGGCCATAAAAGTCGGCACTGGTTGAGCAGCACAAACACAAACTTTTCTACAAACATCTGGAAGAAGACACATGAACTCACTCCGTTAACAATCCATCATTCAACGCGAACCCATGTGGACGAAGCTGACACAATCCACCACTCAGCATACCGAACTATACAAACATTTCGATGACGTTTCCAAGCGTGTGGAGATGATGAAAGGTGTGGGTTGATTAAATTTTGAATGTAGGAGTGAACGGACACAAGGTAGGTACGGGGACCCGCAGTTGGTACTGTACAGCGACCCTGAGTAAATTGTCCCAGCACCTTCACAAGGAACAACGATAAACTGTCAGAGGGGGCACGCACAGAAAACCTCAGCTGCTCTTGTGCAGGGACCGGCAGTCGATCTCAATGCTATCGGTTGTTAATGGACAGGACAGACGGCTAGAGCAAGGGCTAGAGTTGGGGTTCGTGTACAGTAGCAACTGCGGGTCCCCGTACCTACAAGAATAGTATCATCTCGTATATCTATGCCTATATGCAATCATGCCGCAAAGATTGGATATGGAATGGATTGGATATCAATAAGCAAATATGTGCTATATGAATGAGCTTACGACTGAATACGGTTAACGAAATTGACCTTAACCTAAAAACAAGCATTAAAACATCACTTAAGGAATTGCAAAATTACTCGCTCTGTTGATTATCAATGTCTTTTTGGAAATCAAAATTGTTTGAACATTCCCAAATTGCTGTTTTATATAGATATTTCGCCCACAATTCGTCCGTTGATTTCCGCTATGCTCGCTGAATTTATTAGCCCTAAGCCCGTCAGGGAGCCGCCCACATGCGACCTTCGATGTGCCGAGAACGCTTCATCGGTCTGTTCCTTGTGGACACTGACCGTTACTCCTTGGACGGTTCACCCGAGCGAATGACGTGCTAAAGGTCGGTTATTTAGTTCCACGTGAATGGACTAATGACCCTGTCTGGACGAGCTGGGTCTTCAGCGGTGCCGATGTACAGTGCACTCCCCTTTGTTTTTGTTATCTGCGCTGCCTGAGCTGCTTACGGATGGCATTTCTTTGTTTTAGTGATGCTTTGTATTGATTTGGTATCAAGATCCTAATGCACATCGGTGATTTATATACGAAGTGTAATCACTAATCATAGCATAAACTTAGACCTCCAGGAGCTCAGCAAAACTCTGGATCGTAACCTTACTAGCGTAATAAATGGCTTGTAAGAGTAGACCACAAGGCAGCGATCACCACCAGTTTTAAAACCAGTAAAACGCCTTTTGGGCGAAGAACGAGCGAGCGAGATCGTGAGCCCTGCACGTGCGGAAGGGCGAGAGGGTACTTCCAACGGGCTTGTGCAAAGCACCCTTCTAACCGGTCGCTGGCGGTGTGCCAAATTTGAACGCAATCGGCCCAGCCGTTCCTGAGATCTGGAAGCGGCATTCTGCACGTGCGCACGTGCAAGCGGGGTCCAAACTGACTTTTGCACGGCACCCTACTAACTGGTCCCCAATCGTGTACCAAATTTGAGCGCAATCGGCCCAGCCGTTCTCGAGATCTGGAAACGCCCCCTGCACGTGCGCACGTGCAGTAGCACCCTAACCCCAACACATGGGGATGCATTGCCTGGTGGGTGCCTACCTGTATGCCAAGTTTCAGCGAAATCGCCCCAGTAATTACCGAGTTACTGAAATGGAAACAAATTTGGCACCTCTTATTGTTGTATTTTGCACGTGCACTGGGGGTGACCCACATGCATCGAGAGTATCCTGTTTTGGGTAGAAGGGATGCTGCTACCCTACAAAAATTACCGCAAGTCAATCGCCCAAGCGGCTGCTGAAATATGAGCCTCTCAAAATCACTACTTTTGCAAAACAGCTTGAACACCCTTGACTTTTCACGTGGCACGTGCCACGACGGCCACTGAGATGTATCAAAAGTAGTCAATTACGGGGTAGAAGGGATGGGGCTACCCAACAAAAAAGACCGCAGTCCAATCGGTCCAGCGGTTGCTGAGATATAAGCCTCTCAAAAGCGTTACAGGCCGGGCCGGGCCGGGCCGGGCCGGGCCGGGCCGGGCCGGGCCGCTCATACTGAGATTTTTCCGTTATATTGAAAAGACTCACTTCGCTCGCTGCGCTCGCTCGCTCGTAATCACGCTCACAACAGAACCATTAACGAACCAGGGAAGGTATGATCAACCTTACTGCGCCAGCGGCAATGTTGCAATATGCTGTGGAACATTCCCAACAAACACCGTATTTCACTCTAATCGAGGCTGGTGTAATTATGGAGGAGCGCCCGTTGGAGTGTGCTTGTGATAATCATTGCTGTAACAGAGTCAATGTGTCAAGCTCGTGACCTACCCTGGGCACAGCCCTCCCTCCCTCCCGGCTTTTCACATTTGAAGATGTTGAAGATGATGATGGTGATGTTCATACTTATCATGATGACGATGGTGACTGGTTGTGAATTCACCTGCGATCTTAGCGGTGACCGGTGACGTTGAAGGTGACGACGGTGACCATGATGCTGAAGACGGTGACGTTGATGATGCTGCTAATGCTGGTGGTGACGTTACTTTCACAGGTGATGCACATCATTGACGAGGTTCTTGAGCCGACCATCCCAGCCGAGGCCAGTCAGTCGATGCACTTCAACCCGAACGCTCTGGAGCTGCTGGCCAACTCCAACAAGTTCAGCCTCGGCAACGCCTCCATCGGGTAAGGCATGAGTGGACTGTGGAGTGGGCCGGCAGTGTGTGGTGCAGTCTCGTGGAACTTCTGTAATTCTGTAATTCTGTTATTACATCTCTTCTGTGGATGTAATAACTTTTAACTCATTTGAATTGTTTGTTAGACTTGTTAGCCTTTTTCATCGTTTGTCAGACTGATATAATAGCGTCAATTAATAAATGTCAATTGTGTCAATTGATTTAAAATTCTGAAAATTGACAGTGGTTATTGACTTTAACATTTTTTAAGTTTCAATAGTTAACTGAACGTGGAAGTGATTGATCGACATTTAACTCGTTTTGCCCTGTGCGTAGCATTTTTACCTTTCTTATTCTCTACCGACAGGAAATTCTACCAGGCGGTCCAGTCAAATGAGAAGCTCGGCGTATTTAGTTCCGGATCCTTCAACACTTACTTCATCCCAGTCGACGAAAAGTTCGATGTGAGTGTGCAATAATTTATTTGCTCCTAAATATGTACAAATCTTGCGAACTTGGGATGTCCCAACAAGGTTTTTCGATATATTTATTACGGAGCGAGCGAAGCGAGCGGAGTCTTACGTAAAATAACGGAAATTTCTGAGTATGAGCGGCCGGCCGGCCGGCCGTGGTCACGATTCTGCGACGCTTATATCTCAGCAACCAACCACTTGACCGATTTACATAAGGTAATTTTTGTAGGGTAGCTTCATTCCTTCTACCAAGTATTGGACTGTTCCCGATGCATGTGGGTGACCCCTTATGCACGTGCCACGTGCAAAACGAAGAGGTGTCGCTTTTGTAATTGTTGCAATATCTCGGTAACTACTTGGCCGATTGCGCTGAAAGTTGGCATGCAGGTAGGCACCCACTAGGCAATGCATATCCATGTGCCGGAGTTGGGGTGCTGCTGCACGTGCGCACGTGCAGGGGTCGATTCCAGATCTCGAGAACGGCTGGACCGATGGCGCTCAAATTTGGTACATGGCTAGGGACCGGTTAGTAGGGTGCCGTTCAAAAGTCAGTTGGGACCCATTTTGCACGTGCGCACGTGCAGGGTGCCGCTTCCAGATCTCGAGAACGGCTGGGCCGATTGTGCTCAAATTTGGCACATCGCTAGAGACCGGTTAGTAGGGTGCCGTGCACAAGTCAGCTGGAGGTACCCCCTCGAAATTTCGCACGTGCAAGGCTCACCCTCTCGCTCGCTCCGTTAGTCGCCCCAAAAGGCGTTATACTGGTCTGTATTGTTGCAATATCATGCTCAGTTTATGTTTACGATAAATGGTATGTGACAATAGCCCATGTATAAACGTTTCTCTGACCTTTGACCACGTGACCTCCCCAGGCGGTCCATGACCGTTTCACCGGTGAGGTGGTGGACGGTCACGTGATCCCAAACCACGCCCTCTTCACGCGCACCATGGGTGACGAGAGTTTCCGAACGTTGGCGTTCAACGACATGTTGAAGGCGACCATCAAGCTGCGCGCCGAGCGTCTCCCAGCAGCCAGCGACTCCGCCCCCGCCTCCGCCGGTGAGTGAATGCTGAGGGTTTCTACCTACCTGTTCCTCTCACTCGTCTCATCTGTCTTCCCTCCCTCTCTCTCTCTCTCTCTCTCTCTCTCT